CACAAAGGATCGCACTAGGGAGGGGCATATTTGGACGCCCCCTACTAAGTTTTTTGTACATATCTTGGAAACTACTATAGCTATGTCGACCAAACTCTACAGAGTTGTTTCATTCAGGCATTTCCATATACAGTTCAAAAATGGAAGAAATCGGATAATAACCACGCCCACTTCTCTTATAAAGGTTATGTTGAAAATCACTAAAAGTGCGTTAACCGAGTAACAAAAAACGTAAGAAACACTAAATTTTACGGAAGAAATGTCAGAAGGAAGCTGCATCCAGGCTTTTTTAAAAATTGAAAATTGAAAATGGGACCATATCACAGGAAGTACGCAAACGATTTCAATGAAATTCGGTATATAATATTTTCTTAAATCCCTGATGATATGTACGACATATGGATGAAATCGGTTCACAACCACGCCTGAAATCTCGATTGTCACTTTATCATGCGAGAGTATAAAATGTTCGGTGACACCCGAACTTAGCCCTTCCTTACTTGTTTAATATTAGGTTGTCAAAAAAGTCTTGCGGTATTTTTTAATGAATTTTCAATTGTTCATAAAAATTTTTTTGATGACTCATGCCCAGAGATGCATTTTTGCCTTTATCGTAGTAGTACTGCAAAATATGCCGTATTTTCTATTTATTTTGCTCCTTGTTTGCGACGCTATAACTCATAAACGACTTAAAAGAAACGACAATCAATCAAACACGTGTTAGCGCGTGAAAACCTGACCCGATACGACGAATAAAACTAGAACGCCTCGCTCTCAGCGCCAACTAGCGAAAATACCGCAAGCCTTTTTTGACAACCTAATATATTCATCAGTTGAAGGGGTCGAACGAGAATGAGTCATGCTTCAATAATGTCTACCGAATCTTCTAAGGCTACTATCAGGACAGTGTGGTTAATCGAGAGAGGTTAAACTTCAAATGATTCAATTGTCAAAAATATGTACCAGACTAGACGTAGGTTACTTTCGGTGTGAAAACTGCAGTTATAAACTAGTTTAGCTTTTCCAACTTCAATTAGATATTTAGACATTTGTAACTAATAATTAATTAAAAATGATAATCGATCGGCCATTGGTCTTGAAGCACTAAAGCGAAGGCCTTCGCCTACTCGATTACATTGGGAATTTATATAAGTTATCCTAAGATGTGTGACTAATTTCAGAACTGTGTGAATGCTGACATATTTTACTTGCACATCACACACATATGTATATAATATAATRATAATAATAACACCATATTTCAAACATTTTACAATGACAAAATGTTGTGATTAAAATTTTATTTACAAACTTTGAACAATATGCCGAGTTTATAGTAACTTAAACTATCTCTAAATATGTAAACAAAAAAATATGTAAAAACACTTAAAGTGTCAGGAAGATTTGTGAACAAAATATATTTTCATCTGAGTGCGTGCATTGCATATTCATTAAATTATAGTATTGCTATCAAATGAAATTATATGAGGGATTTTAATCGAGTTCCTACGAAAGCTCAAAATAAGCACTTTGTGTGTAATTTTCATATGCGCTTTAATTAATCTTTGTTTTTATATTTTTTAAGCGTGCTAGCACAAGCAAAGCTTTGCTTGCTTTACATTAGTAAGCTTACTTTCTCCAACATCTAACATCACACTTGTTTATTACTTAGCAAAGTGTAAAAATTTGTATGGCTTGTACGACTATGTCTATGTCCATTGTAAAAACTAACTTAAGCAACTAACAAGTTCGAAGAAAACGTATACAGTGATGTAAAGAACAGGAGTTTTGGCGTGTTTAACGTTAACGAACAAAGGAGAGTACTCAGTGTCACATATTTACCATATGATATGAGCCGAGATTTGGGGCAGCAGCAAACACGATTTTGTATAGTTAAATTTGAAGCATTGAATGCTATAATGTAAATGAAAAAATAAAATAAAATAAATAAAATAAAAATTGGATAACTTCCAGTCTCGAAATGAAAATTCGAAGAGTTTAAGTAGAGAAAGTGCAGTCTTATTGCTGTGGTTTCCTGGAGTGCCTTTGACGTCATAAACGAAAGATGCAGAAAGCTTTGTTTACAAATGCTTCGAATTTTCAACAGTTCATTTCGTTTACGACGTAGGTCAATATTTTCTCTTCAATTCTTGCCACTATTTGCAAAATTTTGTTTTAAAAATATTTACTATTAGTATTGAATTTTGCTGCTGAACCAATAATATATGGCATCATACCTATGGATTAGTTTTCACGTAATATTTATCATCCATTTTAAAAGTTTACACCAATTACATTGCATTAATCACACCTTAGCCCACTAAACTATTCATGAACTTTTTACTTTTTTACTTTTACTCAACCCTCTGCACATTTACAATACAACACACTTTAAGAACCTCTTGGTTAGTTATTAAAATAATTAATAATTAATTAACTGTAAATAATTTAGGAAACATATTCAAATATGCATATTATTTATGGTATATATATATTACGTTTAACATATTTATGACCAGAATTTCAACATTTTATGAACTCAACTATTTTTTCTACGCTTTTTAAGCTGACTAGTACCTTACTGTACGCGACATTTTTTAAAATCGACACATTTGTAAAAGTAAAGAATGTGCCCAAACTGAATTTTAAATGATATATTCTTTCTGAATCGCTGCAGATACTTTATCGTTTTGGTACTCTTCGGTAATTATACACTGTTAAACGTATTCTTGGCTATCGCTGTCGATAATTTAGCGAATGCCCAAGAACTGACAGCTGCCGAAGAGGAGCAAGTCGAGGAAGATAAGGAGAAGCAATTGCAGGAGCTTGAAAAGGAAATGGAGGCGCTTCAAGCAGATGGCGTTCACGTAGAGAACGGTGACGGCGCATCCATACCGAATAAGGCAAAGAGTAAAAAGAAAGAAGACGAAAAGAAGGAGGAAGAAGAAGTGACGGAGGGTCCAAAACCAATGTTGCCATATTCATCTATGTTTATACTATCACCAACGAACCCGTAATTACTTGTTTTAGTTAAATGTTTGTGTGCATGTGTGAATGCGTGAGTTTAGAGTGCATAGCTGCTGGGCGGGTAGGCACATCATGCCCCTGGAAATGGTGTTTGAAAGGGGGGTGTGGTTGATGCTTTCTGGAGACTGCTGCAGTGTGCTGTATTCAGTCTCACATTTCTTAAATAAATGTTAGTTTTAAGTATATTTAAGTTAATTTTACCCGAAGTTGTATTTTATAAGACAATTTGCTTATTATTATTTACTAAGTACTTATAATAATTTATTATATAATATGTATATATAATATATACATATCTAAGTATAGTTAAGTTTATTCAAAGTCTTTCTTTTATTTGAGTTTTATTTAAGCTACATTGTCTGAAAACCATTATTATTAAGAACAAAGCTATCTATTAGCTTCTCCTGGCTCCAGGAAATGAGTTTCCACTCTAATGTTCCAATTTTTAAATATTTATTATAAAAATCTTAGATTATGTTAATCTGGTAGGTCAATGAGCCATGCAAAGACCACTGTTGGTTCTTTGCGATACCAGATGGACTTCAGTTATTAGGTCCACGAGGAGTAGTATCCTTTAGGATACCTGTGCTTGACGCGAATTTCAACAAACTCTGTGGCCTAACTATCGATAATGTGGGGACCTCTGATGTTTACAGCGTAGACTTGCCAACGCGAAAAAAGTGCACAAGAGATGGTCCATTATTACCCTGGTGACATTTCCTGCAGTCTTTTCGATCTGTCCGCCCAATTTTGTGGGCGTGTGTCGCCACTTGACAGTGACCAGTTAGTATTCCTATCATGTTTCTTCAGTCTATTCTATCGGGTGCCAATAGGAATTTTTTGTATTTCCGATCTACTTTTGCATATGACCGCAGTTTTGCACCCAAGTAGCTCGCTTCATCGGGCTTTGATTTACTTTACCATGCTTCTCTCCAGTTTGTCGTATAGACAATGTATGAGTTTCCCAATGTTGTTCAAGTTTTAGGTTGTTAGCCGTAAACTATTCGTGACAATTCGTCCACTATTTCATTGCCCTCGATGTTTTCGTGGTCTGACATCCAGTAGAAGTGAAGTTGCTTGATTCTGGCAACACTTTTCACTGATGCCCTGTTTCCCAAGAACGCCCGATATGTGATACGAGGGAACTGCCTTCATGGCTGCTTGGCTGTCTACGTATATGTTGACATTGATGTTAAAACTATTTAAAAATCCTCGAATGACTTTACAGCTGGCCCAAACTAACAGCTCTCACACGACTGACTTATCCCAACTCTGTGCGCATCGTTCAAATTTTGTTGTATCAGATTTATTATACCCTAGAGTCGTTCTTCTAAGTGTTTTCCAACATCTCAACTTATGAAAATACGCTCTTTTGTTATGTTTCATTCGTTTCTAAGCAACTTAAATTTAAAACTAAAGCGGATAATAAAAATGCTTTTCAGACTTCCTCTATTATACATGAGTTTTTAGCTAAGTAGAAAAACAAAAATATTTATAAATTTTATTTGTATACTCTTAGCTGTAAATATTTTTAAATATTAGTGTATAATAGACATAGGTAAAACGCAGTGGAGATATTAAGAAAACAATAATACATAATACTACAATTAGCATTAAAATTAATTAATTAAATTTATGTTATTCTCTACTCTTTTGCAATATTTAACACTTATGTACCTATATATATATATATGTCCACATTAATAACTGACTAAAAAATATTGACTCAAGAATTTTTTCTCTTACATTTGTTCTTTTATCGTTTCATTAAATTACACAAACTTTTTTATTTTGATTTTGGGTTTTCAAACGCCATCATTTGCATTGCGAATCGCTTACATCACATCAATCACCATCATCCATCCATATGCTCAACAAACAAATTCACCAACAAATGCTGAAAATATATCACCAATACCAAAAACAACCAAATACCTCACTGCACTTCCCTACCGCTGCGCACCGCAAACAAAAAATTTAACGCAAATTCGGAAACTGCACAAAATGCATCAAAATCTTGAAAATATGTGGATTCAACAAAATTATGCAACCCGATATAAATGATTTGATCAAAATTAATCAAACAACTAATGAACTGTTGACCTACAAATGAACAAAACAAAAAAAAAAAAACAAAAAACATAAACAACCCGAAAAAAAACAAAAAAATCGCAACAAAAAACATACATGAAACCGAAAACATTTCGAAAATGGATATGAATTTTGGAAAATTGCGCCAATTAGTATACGCCGCGGCGCACATTGGGTTGTTAATTTGCGATATTTTGATTTTTTCATAATGATCGTCATCTCATTGTCATCGATAGCGTTAGCAGCCGAAGATCCTGTTCGTGAGCATTCGTCACGAAACGAAATCTTAAATTATTTCGATTATGCATTTACCGGCGTATTCACAATAGAAATGTTACTAAAAATTGTAGATTTAGGCGTTATATTACATCCAGGCAGCTATTTAAGAGAATTCTGGAATATTATGGATGCTGTGGTCGTTGTATGCGCTGCTGTTAGTTTCGGTTTCGATATGAGCGGTAGCAGCGCTGGACAAAATTTATCAACCATCAAATCGTTGCGCGTACTGCGCGTCCTGCGACCATTGAAAACCATCAAGCGTGTACCAAAATTGAAAGCCGTCTTCGACTGCGTAGTGAATTCATTGAAAAATGTTGTTAACATTCTAATCGTGTACATATTATTTCAATTTATATTTTCCGTAATTGGTGTACAATTGTTCAATGGGAAATTTTTTTATTGTACGGACGAAAGTAAACATTCTTCCGAAGAGTGCCAGTAAGTAAAACAAACTCAATATAATTTTTAAGTTTTATTTTTTTTATTTTTTCTAATTTTCTTTTTTAATTTTTAGTTAAAAACTTCACTTCACTTTCTTTATTTCTTGAACAACTTATCTGTTTTCTTACAATATTTAGACGTTCATATTATTTAAGTATAGTGTAGATTCCATTAGTAATGTGCGTACAATTGTTCTTAATGTTTCCGCATACTTAAAGAGAATTATACTAGTCATACATTTTAGTACAATACAAGTAGATATGTACATACATATATGTTTTCTATAATGTTTCTACAACCAGCCATACTGACATGAATACACAAATATACATATATATAAATGTTGACCTACACAAAGTTATACTCGTGCATATGCCCTTTTCAATGATATATTTTTCCCTATATATATTTTAGAGAATATATTAAATAGAACTGTATATTTAGTTTCCAGCCTTTTCTATTAATCCTCTATTGTTTTCAGTCTATGAATTGAGTATGTATGTAGTTTTCATGTTTTCATTTAACAAGCTAGAAGCATCCAGTCAGAGAAATTATTGTGGAAACTTATTTAGCACTGTTTTTTGGATACGACCATTTATCATAAAATTGATATGAGATACATAAGTATGTACCGCATAACACATTGCTGGATATTTCTATACGTAACTGTAAACAGTTGTGTTCAATTTTTACTGCCATCGATCTATTCAATTTGGTTTTCAAAAACTACATTTTACTTTTCTTACGTTGCCAATACCCTTACAGGAATTTTATATACCTTATACAATATCTTCTTTACATACATATGTATATCTTGGAATTAATTTTAGTGAGTTCGAATAGTTTTCGAAGATTGTTTAAACGTTGTAATTGCTAAATATATCGTTAGAACTACTATCTAGTGCTCACCAACGAATGATACAATCTTCATCATAATTTGAAAGTAATTGTTATGGAATTTTCGAAAAATTAGTATTGTATTGACTCAGTCCAAAAGCCAGAAAAACTCAAAAAATCTCACATATTCTTTAAGAGGACTTAACTCCTAACAGGGGTAGTGAAAGTAGAGCTATACAGTTAAGTTTAAGTTGTCAAGCCGAAAACTTCTCTGGTTCATCCAACTACGATGTGAATCACAAACCGGCGACGACCACACTGCTCAACATGAAATATACTCAAACCTTTCAAATTTTTACTTGAATAGATGAACTTCGTTGAGTAAATAGTCTTTGGTTAAAAACATTGGTTTAATTTTAATGTGAAGAATCGAGCAATCTAATAACCCTCAGTAAATCGATGTAGCGCTGCCTGCGCGAATTCCAAGCATTGAAGGCGCCATGGAAGCCATTCTTCGGAATAGCCTTGGAAGGCGAGGTACCTTCTGCTTGCATCCCCTCTGCGGAAGCGTTGGGAAGCCGACCTTGATTAGGTAGCTGTTCAGAAGAAAGGCGGTGTGAGCCGATGCGTTGTCGTGGTGAAATTTCCAATCGGCTTCGATGTCTTGTCGGACCCAATTGACCCTTTGTTAAGCCCCGTGAGATCTTCCACGTAAAACTTGACGTTGACGGTTTGTCCGCGAGGAACAAATTCATGGTGGACGACACCTTTGATGTCAAAAACGACAATGAGCATAACATAACATTAACTTTGCTTGAATATATCAAACGTCTCTGCCACCGAAATATACTACTTCTTGCTAAAGCAATATATGGATAAGCCTGCTTGAACATATCAAACATCTGTGTTGCAATTTAATCGCGTACCTCTGCTCTAACGAACGCAGCATTTTCGGCTTGAACAACTCACAGAAACACGTCGCTCGAAAATGTTTGTCCTGACTCTCTAGGTGCTCGGAGACCACTGACCAGCCGCGCATTCGTTAGCTGGGAACGCCCTCTACAGTCGCGGCTTAAGAAAATCAGTCCTACTATTTTCCGGACAAACTCTGTAAGAAAATGAGAAATATTCAATTACTTACTAGATAGATATGCATGTGGGAATTGATCCATTATGAAACTTTTGAACTGTTTCTGTACGGTATATGCAAGTAGTAGGGTATTTTACCCATTCTTTATACCTTCCAGAAAAAATAGTGCTATATTTGGAATACGTTCTGTATGTAGAAGTATACTGAGTTATTTAAATACCTTTAACATATTGACTGTTAAATAATTGAATGATGGTGTTTAAACTGTCCTAAAGAAAAAAGAGTTGTCTAATAACTTGTGAAATCGGATTGAATCAATGCAATGCTACTTTCTAATACCTTACTTGATACCTTTCCTACTCAAAAGTATTTGTGACATATACTCGTATATATTTAGAGAAAAGAAATCCAAAATGGGAACTAAGTACACAGTTATCAATACTTTATTATAAAATATTACAAGAAACCATATTAGGCTTAAATGATATAAAAACAATATGCAGGTTCTCAAATAAATTCACTAAAATGTGATAACCAAGGCAGGCTTGTGAGATATTTAGTATAGGGCATAGCTTCGAAACAGATACCGAGCTATAAGACATGCAGAAATGACATACATGCACTAGGGAAAGAAAACACTGTACAAACCAATACAAGCATACAATAGAGCTTTACATCGCCAAAAGGTGCAATAAATTTCCCACAATATACCGGAGTAAGGAGTGAAGGAGAACGCCCAGAGAAGAGCCAATCTTTGTGATCAAGTTTTTCGCGAAGCAAACAATTTGGCACTTTTATGTTTCCCCTGCATTCACTTAATCCAGTATCGATATTCTTTTAATATAACTTTTATACATTTTTTATAATCAAGCGTGCACAGATTAAACAGAATGTAAGAGTAGCATTTTAAAGTTTCCCGCCTTGTTTGTTTGTTTGATTGTATGCCTACCTCGAGYGTAGCACAATCACAGAAGCAAAGAAGAGCAAAAGCCGAAATCAAAGAGAAAAAACAGAAGAACAAATCAAATATAAACGAGAGGAAATTGAAAAGAAATACGAAACCAAGGGGCTACCCCAGCAGAAGTTGTTTCAATAACTACTCATAAATGTTTACCAGACCAGACCTCACGCGATTCAAATCAAGCAAAATTCAAAACTAAAGTCGAAGATTGCGTCATACATAAATATTTAATACATACATAATTGCATATATTTTTACTTATAACCGAATATGTAACTTTTAATTATTTTTTTGCATTTTGTTATGGAAAAAGGTGTAATTGCAAGAGAACTTAAAACAGACAGGAAACGATGAAACGAAAGCAGATGGAAAAGTGCAAAAATTCATTTATTAAATTGGTCAACTCAACTTTTAACCAAAGAGTCCATATTACTGCCAGAAGATTTCTTAATAAGCTTTAATGTTATTGTTTTTATAGCACGCGCTTAACAAGAACTCACAGCCAAGCAAACTAAACACACACTCGAACACGCATACACTTCCAATACAACGAACACATGTTTGCAACAAACCAATAAGCTAATGAACAAAAAAATATCAGGGCTTGACTCTAGGCTTCAATTAAATGCAAGGATTATAGTCTGATTTTCCAAAGAATTTGACTTTATAATTCGTATGAATTATGAACCCACTCACTAATAAAGCATTGATAAACGTACAGGATCCAGTTGACAAAACTGAGAAAAGACAATATTAATAGCAAAGAAAATACTACCTCAAGCCCGAAAGCTTTTAGTGTTCGTAGTCCTACGCAGTAGTCAGTTCATTTCAGTTGAGTTCACGTTCGATTTGGAAAAAAATGTATCCCTTTTAATTGACATATTTTGGATATACTTATTTTTTAAATTTCTGATTCGTGTGTTCCTCAATTGTTCCCCTACATACACACACCGTTCCCGTATTTTACATTACTTTTGTGTTATTGTTGTTAATCTTACATACACTCACTCAAATGTAAAACACAAAGAATTTTCATATCTTGTTGTTTTAACTGTTTGCCTTCGTGTGCAATGAACCTTCAAACGAAAAGTATATTTTTACGTTTCTACGTCTGTGTGTGTTTGTAGTCGCCACCGCCGCTCCACCACAACAGTATAAATAGCTTGAATATTATTTAGTTCAAAGAATCTCAAAAGCTGTTTATAACAAATATACTTTTCAAAAATAATAATTTAATAGAGTTATTCGAAAAGCTAAAATTTTTTAAATATATTTAAAATAGGGAAATTTCCATCAACTCGTCTCAATTGTAAATAATTTCCAAATGTTTATAAAAATAAATAGCTTTTTAACGTTTTGTTTTTCAATATTTTTCTTATTTTTAGAAGGTTAGGAAGTTAGTATATCAGAGAGATAAAATATTTGTAAATACTCGAACATAGAAACTTTTTTCTATCTAGAAGTTACCTTCCTTAATGCGTAGGTTGGAAGCCTCTTGTGTTGGGTACACTTGTAAATAATGTTATGTACAGAGGAGCAAACGTTTTTGTAAGTACCGCTTTCGTATATTTTTACCATAACATATAGCTTGCTATACAAACTGGTCGATCAAATGAGACCTTGTATAAAAATTTGTTTATTCGACAAGATTCGCAGCAGATTACTATGCAAGGCAATATTGTTCAAATCGGACCACTATAGGATATAGCTGTCATTCGAAATTACTAATAAATACTCAAGGCAAAGATATTTTCTTAAAAACCCTTATTAAGTAAGCTTAATTCGATTTGAGCGCATCAGCGAAACGTTTCCTGTTGAATGCAAACTGTTATATTGCCTATTCAAATCTTCAGCTCATTTCTTGGCCTTTTGTATAATAGTATTTGAAATATCTGATGTCATCTTAAGCTTTTTAATGAGTTTCCATGGCTGCAAAAGAACTAACAGTTCATGCAGAGTTTATAATTAATTTCTTAAATAATAATAATTAGGATTAAACCATTATTGAGTTTGGTTAAATAAATGAAATTGTATATTAACATTTTTCTCTTTTTAAAGATATTTTAAAGCTCTTCACATAAAAACATTAGCGAGCAATAGGGAGATGGGCTTCTGGTCATTTGTTAGCATATTACTTCCTAGTAGATTAAATGAATCTCTTGTTCCTTTTTAGGTAGTATTAATTGCGGTAGCTTTTACTAACTATGTACTAAGTATTTTCTACATTATTAAGTTGCTAATATCAATTTTGTAACATTTACTATTTCTTTACGCCTAAATGACTTTATTTTTCCCTGTTCAAATGGTTGCCTCTAATCAACCGTATGTGTATGCTTTGCAAACAAAAATGACAAACGATTCGTTCACATACATATGAAAACATACAAAATCACATTTACATACCTCACGTTTTCAATAATCCTCCGCTCACTCCTTGCTGTAACTGTTCTGTACGCTGCATTGCAACAGCTTGGCGGCGGTAAAATGAGCTTTCGCCAGCAAAGCTTTCCTGTAACTGTCAACATTATCACTACCACTCTTACCTATCGCTTCCACTCTCACTTTCACTATCACTATCACCTTTGTTGCATCTTTTTATTCTTACTATCCATTCTCAGTTAGTTGTGATCACTTTTGTTTGTTATTTAGGCATTTGCCAATCTTTTGAGTTTTTTAGTCTTTTGTACTTATTTTGATTGAAAGAATTTAGAAAATGAGCAAATTTACAAACTTTTTCAACTCCATCGCCAATTCTTATCAAAACAAAAACAAAAAAAAAAAAAAAAAAATCAATCAAGGGGTTACTATTTTAAATATGAGGAGGACGAGTTACTTCCAAAGCAGGAGGAGCGCATTTGGCGGCCGCGTAGTTTTCACTACGACAACGTGGCGGCGGCAATGCTGACACTTTTCGCGGTACAGACCGGCGAAGGATGGCCACAGTAAGAAAAATCTATGAAAACTAACTGTACTATTATCGCATTTTGCATAGGTATTTAGTCATAAGTAGTTATTTGCTCGAAATATTGCTAGTATATATTATAAATATAACTCACTTTACAGTATATTGAATATTATAGCCAATTAATTGTTATAATAAATATTCAAAATTTAATAGAGTTCTACAACACTCAATGGCTGCAACATATGAAGATAGGGGTCCCATACAAAATTTCCGGATCGAAATGTCCATATTTTATATTGTGTATTTCATTGTATTTCCATTCTTCTTCGTGAATATATTCGTGGCCTTGATTATCATAACATTTCAAGAGCAAGGCGAGGCTGAGTTGCAAGATGGTGAAATTGATAAAAACCAGGTGAGCTACATTAACTAAACTAGCCAAATAATTTACGTATATGTGTGTTGAAAAGCAATTTGCTTACAAATGTTACCACCTTAATCTAGAGCGTAGTGTCAATGTTGTGAATAAAAAAAAACTATTTGGTTCCTTGTATGTTTTCATCCAAATACAGACTAAATACTTCAAATATACTTTACGTTGTGCATACATAACTGCTTTATGTGTTAATGAACTCTTAAAGTGTATATATAAAATTTAGATTTTATACACAACGCTTTTTAGACAAAAAAACTTCATTCAATAGAATAGTTTAGTAATTAGTGAACACACAAGACACAAGTACACATCACCACTCCCAAATTCACACAAAATTAAATATTCCACACCAATGATTTAGATACTAAATACTAAAATTCTACATAAATGCTAAGTATTCAGTACAAATAAAGTACCGCTAATCAGTTTGCAGCTTCCACATTTAATAATATGAAAGTCCTTACACTTGGCCAACAGTTTTAGACACATTTCCCTATAAAAGTGCTCCGTAACAAGCTTCGTGGGAATTACGATATTTTCGGCGTTTTTAATTTCATGCACAGCTTTAGAACTGAAAGCTATGAACATTCGAAAGCATTTTTAGAAATACAACTCTATAGACCCGCAGAAACTACAGCTAATGAATCTATATAAATGTTGTACATTTACCGGAAATTGACGATTTCAAATCGAGTATTGCAAAGCTTTTAAAATATCGAAAATTAAAAGCTGCTGCGAACACTCTCACATAGTCGAATATGCATAAAATATAAATATCTCATTAACTATCAAAAAATAATACGCTTTAAGAACTTATACTAAAATTTAGTTATACAATTTTTATACTCGTAATACCATATTTTATACGTAGAATTAAGTACGTTAGTGTTGGGTTACTCATAATAATGGCTTACAATTAATTATCTAACTTTCACTAGCTTCACAAACGAAATTTACAATTATTTTAAACCATTTAGATCAGAATTATTGGCACTACCTATGTAGTTTATAGAAACAAGGCTATCATTTTATAATCCAATCCAATTCAACATGATCTCAGAACAAAAATTAAATGTGAATAATTTTCCTCCAACCATCACTACCCATTACACATTAGTTAGTCTATTAATGGGAGTGACAATAGAATTACAGTGTGTCACTAAAGTCATGATCCAGCAGATGATTTTAGCTTTATATGTTAATTACTTTTGTTTTGCTAACTTCCAGAAGTAAAAATAATCACTTGATTTTCGTAACATAATTGTTTGAGAAAACCATAAAGTAAACTTAAGTTATTGCCATTGCTTTGTAAACATTTATTATATATGGTGATCCAGTTCTAGGGTCCCTATTTTTTAAAGAAAAAATACAGAAACTTCATATGGGGAGTATTTATTATCATCCTGAAGAACATTCTTTGCAATTGCAATTAAGGTTATCTCTTTAAAAAATTTTGCCCCGGCGTGATATTTTGCTCCAAAGCCTGAATCGAACTTGACATATGCTCACAGAATATCACACGATCTTGGTAACCAATGACCGGTCCAAAACGTGAAATTATCTGTTCACCAAAATGTTTTCTCATTAAATCCACACAAACCACACCAAACCGTTGCTTTTTCGGGATGAAGTGGCAGCTTTTGAATCTCTTCAGGTCGCTCTTTGTCCGAAATGCTTCAATTTTGCTCATTTACATATTGAATTTGAAAACATCAATTTTGTATGCTTGCAATTTAAGATCACTACGCCAAGTCGTTCTCTGAAGTATAGATGGGTTGCTGCCAAAGGCGCCGATTCAACTGCCTACGGTATTCGTGTATACTCTCAGCTACGGTTGCTACGAACTGGACGTGGTCTGTTCGGCGGAATATTATCCAATAATTAATGCTGGGTCTCAAGATGGGTGATGATGTTGCAATTAGTAAGCTCAGTCGGCCAATTATGTTGAAGATAAGTTGAGCGAAGCGTGGCAAACACATTCTTTGCAAAACGTGAATTTTTACAATAAAGTTGTAAACGATCTTGATGAAATGCCAAACAATACTGAATAAAAATAATATGACAGCTTGACACGACTCACGCGTGATCTGTCATAAATAGCTATTGAAAAAAATGGTATTGAGATCCCATTGCCTTGTAAACATTTTTTTGTGTTATAAAGTAATAAAAAATTTATGAATTTACATATATAGTTAAAATTTCATGACTTCAGTCACACACTGATTTTATACTGACCCGAGTCTATAAGATTTGGAGCAGTAAGGCCTCTCTTATGGTATGGATAAGTATTGACTGTTTCTATTACTATTGCATTTAAGCATCTCTGCCAAAAATTACAGAATAATTTAAACTGTTCTACTTTGAAAAAAAGAAAATAAGTATGTTTAAAACTCGTCATACTGCTTTATTMTTATTAATTTATGATTGTTGTAAATTATAACTTATTCGCAAATATTTGGGTCGACAATTTGTAGTATTACAAGAGACTTTTGGGAAATTATGTAAAAAATTACGGCTTTTATTCCAAAATTTTAGTATGTAAGCTATCCAAGTAGACAGATAATGAACTCCTCATTTCAGAAATTACCARTTATTCGAATCGCGTTTAGTGGGTAACTCTTGTCGGCACTAATATGTATGTATACACTGCCATCACACTTCGCTATATATATATATACTAGTTCTAATTGTAGGAACAATTCATATAATTTGTGTTCTATATATAATGTACATATATATGTACATATATACCAGCCAATATTTAGAAGAATAATCACAATTTTTCCTTGAGTGTTCTTTATATTTTGTAGCAAATTTAACAAATCAATGCATGATATGTGACTCCCAAAGACCTTTTTCCTTCCAAACTCATCAAAATATTTGCTGATTAAAATGTTTTGTTATTACAGAAATCCTGCATAGATTTCACAATAGGCGCGCGGCCGCTCGAACGGTATATGCCCAAAAATCGAAACACGTTCAAGTACAAAGTCTGGCGCATTGTAGTCTCGACGCCATTCGAATATTTTATAATGATGCTAATTGTGTTCAATACTTTACTGCTTATGATGAAGGTAAGACCAAATGCATATACATACATACTTTTCSTACCCTTTCAAAATCATTTACTTGCATAAGTAGATATATGAGTATATTATTTATTTACTTTGAGATTTTTATTTTACTGATTTTTGCTGATGGGTAGTGTTGATAGACATTGTGAAGTAATATTTGTAACTTTAAAGCTATTGTTATTTCCTAAAAAATAATACTTCATATCGTTTTGCTAATCTAATAAAAAATGCAGGCATATACTTGGGTTCATACTAAGTTAATACAGTCGAATCGAATACACAAACAGTCTACATCTTATTACAAAGAACATAAACAACAGAAAAGAAAGGGATTTTTATGAACAGACAGTTTCAGGAAAAGACGTTCATTTAATTTTCTTGATTAGAAAAGAAACTATTACATAACTATGTGTTGATGTTGAACAATAAGTGCAAAAAATTAAATACTTGTTGGTGTAAATTTTGCATGTAAAAGCGAAATGGTTTATAAATTCAACTAAAATTTGTTTTTTGTACAGTCGTTTTTGTTTATTCATCACTGCACCGACGTGTTTCAATTTCTTATTTAAAAGTCTTATAAATATTAAAGTAATTATGGTGAACTGTTTTGGTGTTGCCAGTCTTATAAGTTACACCATGAACTTCTGATATTCAAGTAGCCATTTATCCGGTTAAACGTATGGTTTTCCTAATACTCGAATATCGTGACTACTACTTGAATGGCGTGATCATAAGAAATAATAAAAAATATGCTTATTGGGCGATAATTGATTGTTAAAAAATGAAGGATTATTTGGTATGCGCCATGTGGATTCTATGTGATTACGGCGACTTTAAGTTTTGGCTATTCCTTAACATTTGTAATATACTGTATAATACTTCTCAGCCTATTTTATTTTTATAGCAGTTGAATTTTCTCAGTACTTTTGACTTAAAACTTCTTATACCAAACAATACCATATATCTCTCCTTACCTATGCACCAGATTCTTCGGATCTGGTACCCAGTAGGCTTTTTCTGTTCTCAAACCTCCAGATAATAACCGCTGGAAAGAAATTGACGAAAAACGCACCAGAAGAAAAAGTCTAATCGTTATAAAATTTTTTTTTATCGATATTGAAAAAAAAAAAAAGTTTCACTAAAAGTTAGTTTTGCGAAAAAAATTGTACTATATTTCCAAACAAATACATGACCTCAAGAAATATCACACACGGTGATTTGTTTTCTATAGGGAACTCTTTGGATTTTACCAACGAATATACATGAACGTTATTCTGTAAATAAATATTATAAACACTATAGAAATCACTCTCATGCAACTGTCTGTAAGTTTATGTCAATATCTACTAACTGTTAAATATGCCATCTTCATTTTATATACATACATATATAAAATTTATCATGTTTCGCTTCACTCTATCCTCTATATATAACATATTTGGTATATATTAAATTTCTGTATCTCTTGGAATATTCAAGCTAAAAACATTGGTTTACACATTTTGCTTTTTCTAAAAAATAAAAAAAAAAAAACTAATAATACATTTCTGCAGTATCATAACCAAGGTGAAATGTATGAGAAATCACTTAAATATATCAACATGGGATTCACGGGGATGTTCAGCGTTGAGACCGTACTGAAAATCATTGGATTTGGCGTTAAGGTAGGTGTTTTGCACGAATGCTTTTGCATAAAAAAGCAGCGATACAGTTATTCCGACTTGGAGGAGCTAATTCAAATAAGAAAATTGTTGTAAATGTTCCATCAAACCATGCTCAGCATATTTTCTGATGCTTTGAGCTTGCATTCAGCTGAAATTTACAATGTAAAGCAGGATTCATTATTTGTATAAACCATATATCGCAGTACAGGTAAGCCGTTCCAGAACATGAACAGGTAAGTTTTATATAGGGCTGTGGCATGTTAATCGTTATATTTAGTACTATGTATTGCCTTGAATCCGCTACTGACTACTAACAAAAAGCATGTGAATACAAAATGGCGCTTTGGTTTTTGCGATGCACGACATTAAGCACCCTTTTAAATCCATCTTATCCAAAATCTTATTTTTAGATTTATTCATACTTTTTTAGAATTCTTTGCAAACTATAAATATAATTATGACACAGTTGTCCGAAAGTGCACAATAACCAGACTTCCATGCTTTAATTTCATCAATTTAATACAAGAGAGGATGAGAGAACAACAAAACCGCTTATTTTCTAACTCTGTTTGAGTATGCCAACCAATTGCAGCTATACTTGTTGGTTGTTCAATTCACTACTTTCCAGGTTGACCATTTTGAAACCACACACTATTGCAGATTCATTTTTAATCATTCGATCAAGTTCTTAATTTGTGGTGTAATGGACAAAATTTCCAAAAAACCGGGTTTTAAAAATATTTTAAAAATTGTGCTTTCCCTTCAGTGTTTCTTAAGTAAAAAACAAAAAAAAAAAACAAAACTAATCATAACAAAAAGTGCTGAGAACTAAATTCCGCTTTCTTCAAAAAATGAGTCACCCTTTCAATTCACTTAACAACATCCTTGAAACAACTCTAACTAAGTTACAGACTATGATTTGAATGACGTAGACAAGCTGTATGTTGTTCTATGTGTATGGAAGTTAAATTTTTTTAAGCATTTATATACATATATTATTTGAAAATAAATCACAGGCTTAAGTTTTTGCCTCCGGAGTAACCTAATTGGTGTGCAAATGGAGGCAAAGGCAAAAAATAGGGATATTCACAGTTTTTGAAGTGCATTGGACAGTTAGTTCATTGCTTGGAGACAGCATAAGCGAAACAAGCTGAAGTGCTTACTTTCAATTACTATGAAATCTTGACGGTTTGCTTCCTTTTACTGCGTTCTCTTTAGATTTATACCTGTTTAAAATTTGTTTTTACTATATGTATAATATATCCTTTATTTGTCATAATCATAATTTTGCTCTTTAAGGGGTTAGATACAGTTAAAAGCAGAAAAAAATTGGCCAAAAAATTGATTTTTGATCAAATTTTGGTCTTAAATCGTTTATAAAACAATTATTTATCGCTAATCTGCTTGGCCGTTTTCGAGTAATGTTAGTCTTTGTTAATCTTTGAAAACACCATTTTGAGAAAAAAACATTTAAAGTTCGGTATGCACTTCCAAGCACTCCTTTTTCAAATTTGCATGTAACTTCAAAAATAGTCAAAGGAGCGTTACGAAATTTTCAATGTGTATTTTAAGTATATGTACGTTGAGAAAGTAAAATAAAAGTTAAATTTTTTGAAAGTTCTAATTGTATATCCCTTAACAGATTATGAGATACCTGTATGCGCTTTTTAGTAAAGACAGGCTTTCGCTCTAATGCAACGCTAACTAACATTCATATATAATCACATATCCCTACATAAATTTTATCCAAAGCTTATACCAAACATAACAGTAACCGCTCCCAATTTTGTAGAATACACCAAGCTTGCAACACCGGATTGTACACATAACCAATAACATAGCAATGCGAAGAAACTTCACATTAGATCCTTGCGGTATTTAGCTCTATGTTTACAAAAAGTTAAGAAAAATTAAAAAATGTTAAATTATCCATCGGAGATATTAGAATAGTATAACAAAGTTTGCTTAACAAATTTTAGCAGTTTTATCTGAATTATAATAAGAAAAGCTAAACTAATAAATAATAATAAAAAAAAAGTATAAAATGCCTGCAGTCCTTTTATTCATTTGTTAGTTGATTTATTAGTTTTTATTGCTATTAGTTATTTCAAGCTTTTCAATCTGCCTTCTTACATTTGCTTCTGTATCTGGGAATATGCATCCCATAAAATTTAGTAATTTAGCCCTTCTAATCTGTAGTCATATTTAGACTGATTGCTTTCTCTACGTTCGCTCACAATATTATGCCAAAAACACACATCCCCTGTACGAAATCAAATGTAAACTTGGCAGTTTAATAGTTTTTAGTAAAAATCTTTAAGTCATATTTCATACCGTTGATTCATAGATGCTCATATTTTTTCTTTTCCCTTTCCCAAAACGAAACAAAAAAAAAAAAAAAAAAATCATGTTGTTGATGATATTTTTCTGTAGTTTCATGATGCACCGCCAACTCATAGTGATATATTGACCTACATGAATCTGGTATTCACATTATTCTTCTTTTTGGAGACAATAGTAAAAGTTATAGCGTTCGGATGTACGGTAGGTAGCGCATTCATCTAATTCAGTAAGCAATTATGCTTTTTTATTATGAGGAGCTGCGAAACTTGGAAAACTGCCATTGTAAATTTCAGCCATTGCTAGGCTAACACTCAAAAATATGTGTGAAGTGATTTGCACTTGCTGTAATGAATATTTTTTTAACTGTTTTATGAAACACACTGCGATTAACAATAATTGCATTCCATTGCAGAATTTCTTCAAGGATCCCTGGAACATTTTTGATCTGATCACCGTTGTGGGTAGTATTGTCGATGCGCTTTGGATGGAGTTCGGGGTAATTATTGCACAATTATACACACTGACGCAGCATATGAATATGCTTAGCACTGTTAGCATTTTAAGTTGTTATATTTCAAGCTGTTGTCCACAAATATAATTCATATAGTCAATAATTACGATTTCGAAAGCGGATGCCATGTTAGCTTTGAATATTGTCGTTAAGCAAGTTATGCATTTCAAGAGTTCTAATTTTACATATATACATATATTATTACATAATAACTTTCAACTATAACCGCAATAATGAATGATTGCGTTTTGACGTTAGGTTTTAAAGCAAAAAAAGGTATTTACAAACATATTTAGGCGACACTTTTGTGGCATAGATTCTAAGTTACTAGCACTAGCTGCAATATGCACATACATATATTAATAATTATATGATATAATGTATAACTATTAACTTGTTGAAGCTCTGTTTGATGAGTTGCGCAATTAATGAGCCTCAGCGTTTCTCAAAGTACTAAATATTATACAAAAACGCAATAATAATAGTAATAATACAAAGTTAAGCGAAGGCGGGTGACTATCTAGTATGCTTTATAAATTAAGTATAATAAATTATTTTATATATTTCACATACTCAAAGCGTTATAAACGTATGCGATTCGATATACTTGCAGTAATAATTTTTTTGCTACTTATCTGAGAGTCAGCGCCGCAATTTACGTATTTTCCTTAAGCAAGCACTTGCAATAATTCTTAAGTCAATTTAACACATACATATGTGTATATAACATTATTATGTATATATATATTTTACAATGAATCACCGCAATAATTAATAATCATATATTTTTTAATTTTCCTTTTTCACATTTTATTTATGTACCGTCACACAAAAATGAAACCAAATACGAAATGGCGACCCATGAAACTAAACCAAAAAACAAAAAAAAACAAAAAAAAAACAAAAAAAACTTTTTAAAAATTACACAATAACCCCACTTGAAAATAATTTTAATGCAAAATTAATTTTCGAAACATAAACCCCAAATACACTTAAAAATTGCACAATTTGCCAAAATACAACATCGAAACTGTACACGACATATCGAAACCAATTTAAAAACTCCAAATACACATACATTCAAATATTATGTTATTTCTACGTACACGAATATTTCTACGAATGTTGTCCTTTTCTCTGTGTAAACAAATATGTATTATTCAAAACGAACAAAAAAATGCTTAAAAACTGATTAAAACTTCTGTATTTTAAATTTAATTTTTTTGCTGTCGTTTAAAAATTCTCTTTCATCAAACGAAACATTAAATCAAACAATTCGTTGAAACCTACCAACATTCGCAATCACAACAACATTCAAATATCAATCAATAAAAAACCTAATCTGAACAACTATCCTCTACAAATACTCATCTACAACTACAACTAAAATTACAACACCAGCACGATGTAAGTACAAAACACTACTTATTACACTAATACGATAACCATAAAATTGTTTTTGTATTTGTAAAATTTTACGTGTGTTTTCATTGTTAAAAGTCCTCTTTCGACTTATGCTTTATTGCTATTGTGTGTTTAACTAAATTCTTTTCGAAGTGTACTTAATTACTTTTAGTTTAGAAAGCTGTAAACCTAATTTGTTGATTGCTACTAACCCCTCGCTTTAAAACCATACGCAGCCAATTGAAATACTCGAGCGAAAATCGGCTTTCTTGTGAAATGTCGTACTTTTTTATTTTCCCCAGTAAGAGCTTGTACCTGAATCCTGAATGACCAAATAAGTGCGCTCTTCACTGCTTCTAACAAAAGTCATTCCCATTAGCTGATAATGGGATCTAACATTGCTAGTGCAATATGTGACTCCTGTATTCGTTATTTTTGGCTTTGTATCTGAAAATAAACTAGAGTTTTGTGCTTAAAACATCAAATACTAAAGCTTGTTTTAGACTTTCCATCAGTCGAGTTATTGCGCTATAGTCCGTTCAGTTTTTCATGCAGTGCCTGAAGGTAGCTCCGCTATTAATTACTTAGTGATAGAAAAGGCTACACTCATTTAACTCCTTGACAGCTTTTATTCCAATTAAATTTCATTAAAATATTAAGTATATTTTAAGACTCATTCCTTAAATGCTTTACAATTAAACTTATGCTTGGCACAGTTCCATTACCAATGGCTGGAATTAACTGAGCTCATAGTTTCCCCGCTGAATACTAATTTCGACCCCTTTTCTCTTGCTCGCCAGACGGTTGAGCTTCATTCCTCCTTTGGCTTAAATCTTTTCCTTTGTCTATTATACTAACAGTGTCCTCTTCATTTTGATTTCATTTCGGTTATACATTATTTGTACTTTCACTAATGCATCCCAATATTAATACAAAAACAACAAAATAAAACATTAATAATTGTACACATTTCGTACTACATGTAAAACGTAATCATTAACCGAGAACTAACTTATTCTGTACTAGAGATTTCGAGTGTATATTTAATTTGTGTTTTCATACTTTTATTTATGGAATGCTCTTACAAGTAACTATTGAGATTTTCCAACTTGCTTCTATCCAAACTTACGTAAATAACCAACATGCAACATAACTACAATTTATGCTATATTTGGGTTTATCTACAAAAAGTTCTAAGTAAAAACTTTGCTGTAAGTAGAACAAGAAAACGACACATTTACAAAACCCAGTTCATTTCCCAGTTTTGGAGCGACCGAGATGCCTTATGTTTGGAGCAAGAATTTTTTAATTAATTAAATTGGTTGAGAAATAAAAAATTTAGTTTGAATATGTAAAATTTCAGGAAAAAATCCATAATCATAAATATTCAAAAGGTCATTGGTATAGTAATTTTAAACACTTATATTACAATTATTTGCTTTATACTAATTTGAAAAAATTTCGAAATTTTATATTTTTGCTTTACAAAACACGCATTCCCACCGCCAACATTATCAACACAACATTACCATTATTTAACCAAATCTGTCACTTGTCACCGTAAATGATTTTTGAATTAAATTGCCAACATTAAATGACACACATCCTGCTCGGAAACGACACGAACTATACTTAAAATTCATCTAAAAATACGAATACAAATCAAAACTCGGAAAAAACTACTTTCGAAACCACAACCTGATACACGCATACAACAAATTCATCACCACCTACACCCACATGCGAATGGAATTTTCAACTCTTCGGTTTTGCTAAACGAAAATCATTTAATTTAAAACAAAAAACATACAAATAATTTTGCATCACACTGAAATGTCGCTGCAACAATGCTCCAACCACAAATTAATGCTACCACAATTCCACCACCACCACCACCACTACCACCCAAACCATTGATACTACACCGCCACCGTTTTCACCACGCCCACCATACCCATTGCCACTGCCATTGCCACTGCCATTGCCACTGCCACTGCCACAATCACAACCGCAACAACGCAATTGATAATCAAATGTAACAGGCAACTGAAGCAACTGTAAGTAGTCGTGAAAAGTTTTGTCTCATTTTTCCAATATTCAGACGTAAATAATCAAACTAAAAATATTTTTTGCCAAAAGTAACAATTATACCTTTACGTTCTCTACTTTTGTATAAAACTTGAACGAAAGCCATGGCGAAAAGCCGTTAGTTTTTTATCTTTCCATGCTCTCTCTTATGTTATAATTTTAAATTCGCTCCATTTATTCAAGTTGCTTCTAAATTTTCTTAATTAGTTGTAATAGTTTAATTTAAAAATTTAAAAAATTATGCGAAAGCGCACAATCCAAAAAAAAGAAATGGAAATTTAATAAGAAATAGAAGTCTATCGCAGTTTTCGTTTATTCAAAATGCTTACCACTTTCTGTTCTTCGCTTATTGAATTTATTGCTTGAAATAAAATAGTTAAAAAATCTATCTCTTTAATGAAAATATTTGAATATAACTGTCTTACAGCCAATTAGTTGCTTTAAATGCCGCCTCGGTTATCGCTCACTTTTTATTCTTCGTTATTCTTCGTTGCTTTTTGCTATTTGTATGTCTACTTGGAGTGCTTTCTTTTCTCTTTTGTTCAAATAAAATTGTTGTAATTAGCTTTACAAATCACGCTCACCTAAAAATGTCACGCAAACTAAAATAATTTTCAAGCTCTTGAGTAGTTGAAAAAGGAATTTGATTATCTGCCAAACTGCTTTCAGCCAACACTTCACTGAATTGTTACTTTGAAAGCTCACCACGAAGTACTAAAACCACTTGTACTAATAACTTCTCCACTTCTTACCTTTTCCTACCCTATCTCTTCTCGTTTATTTTATTTTAGTTGCAGTTTTGTTTACTTTCGAATAAGGTTAAAATACTTTACACGCTCATTATAACTAGTTAATAGCTAGCATACTATTTACTGCTACTGGCATGATTTAATAATATTATAAAATTGAGTTCCGTTGAATTTGCTATGCAAACCTTACGTATGTATGTAGGTAGACACCTACACCCAGCCGAAACCAACTTGTGTATGCGAAAGTAGGAAATTCAATTATAATAGAATTATAAAAGAGCTATATGCTAACGGCTTAGAAGATTGCAACCCTGTACATAGCACTTTTCGGTAGTAATCGCAGGTAATGAATTTGATAGTGAATTATTTTCATTTTCAATGGGAATTAATATATATATATAACTCCAATAGTTGTCGTAAATGAAATGAAAGAATAATTTATTACTGTAAAATCGTTTTTCAAAAATCTGGCAACCATTAAATTTAGTCCTAAATTGAATGACATCAAAATTAAAATAACCGCTTTACATTGCCTACAAGGTATTAAATTAGGCGGGCTCATTTTTTCTCACTAAACTAAGAGCAGTAATTCTTTGCATTAGATATCATAAAGTCAAACACTATTCATAATGCCTAGTTTGTCATTTTACATTATAACCGTCATGAAGTAAAAGTTCATATTTCTCCCAAAATGTTTGGCGAAAAACTCACGAAGAATCAATGCGGTGCTTTTTCGTGGTGCAA